GGGGGGTGGGGGTGGGTGGCAGGTGGGGTTGGGGGAGAAAGTAAAGCTGGGAAGGTATTCCTATATTTCTGGTGTTTGAGGAAGATACCAGTTTAGAACCGGAGGTATGGATTATTAGCAATGTTGAGTGAATTTATTTTTCCTAGGTTGCAAGGGTAGGAAGGCCGCCTTTTGGATGTCTCCTGAAATACTAAGTAATGCCTGTCTGGGGTATGGATTTAAGTTGCGACAGGAATAAGAAAAATCTTGGATGGCTGGGGCAACTTTGGCCCCACAGCGGTCAATACCTTGCGCTAGGGCGCAGTACTTTTCAAGTTTTAAGGTTCACAGCGGGAATCACTGGGAAATTTCGTTAAAATGCAGATACTGGTTCAGCAGGCCAGCGATTGTGCATTTCTGTCAAGTTCCCAGAGGATGTTGATGCTTTGGACTGCACTTTGAAGCAAGGTACCATGAGACATCCAGAACGCTTTGGGGGAAAGAAAGGAGTATTGGCCGCGTTCCCTGACGGAGAAGGAGCATAAATGCAATCCTTAGAGATAGGCCCCTCTCCTTTCCCTCCGGACAGGGGGATGGTGCGGGTGTGGGGGACAAAGCGAAGGCTGGCCAGAGCAGACCACTGAAGGCGGCTGCAGGAAGGGCGGGGGCGCCGAGGTGCGTCAGGTGCGCGTGTGCCGGGGATGGCACTCCGGGGGCACGCGGCGTGGGGGCTGCGGCGGGTCTCCGGCCACCCTCGGCGCGGTTTCTGGTCTTTCGGCCCTCGGCGGCTCCCATCGCGGCGGCTTGGCGCAAGGCTGAGGCATTGGCGGCGGCGCTCCCTCCGCCGCTCGGCGAGCGCCTACTGGGCCCGGCCGTGGCGCCCGGCTCCCGGAAGCGGAAGGGGAGCGCAGCCCAGCCTGGGCGGCGGCGGCGGCGGCGGCGGCGGCACTGGAAGAGGAGGTGGAGGGCGAAGATCAGCTGGCGGCCGCGAGGGCAGTGGTGACGGCGAGAGGCGAGCCCGCCGGCGCCGGTGAGTGTGTGCAGGCGCGGGGCGACGTGGCCGTCCCCGCAAGCTTCTTCTCCCAGGCCAGGAACGCTCACCTGTCCCCGCGCCGCCTGGACCCCTTCTTGTCCCCAGCCCCCGCCCGGCGGGCCTGCCGCCGCCCCGGGTCACAGCCCCCGGCTGCTCGCAGCCCTGTTTGTCCCGGATCCTGCCTCTCTCAGAACCACTTTCTGCCAGAGCTGCAGCCGCCCGCAAACTGCTTCTCCCATAACGTGCTGGGTGGGTTCCTGCCCTTAGTCGAGATGATTTTGGGGTAGTTAAAAAACAAAAAAAATCAGTACCCCGAATTCCCCCCTTGTGAATCCCAGTTTCGCTGTGTGCACACTTCCCACCCACGCTGCCCGGAGACCTGCCCGGCAATCTCGGATTTCTCTAGGCTTTCACGGAGCCTTGCCTTCATTTCCAGACCGCGGATGTGAGGCTGCAGAGGACTAACAAGAGCTTCCTAATTGACCTTAATGTCTCCCCGCCTCCAGTCTCCATCCGACGCTTGTTTCGAGAACATGGCTTGTTGATGGCATCAGTTTGCACTTGTTATCATTCACTATAATAGGTCGCTGGAACTTCAGTGAGGAATCCATTTAAAGTTATGGTCTCTCAAGCTGTATTTGGGTCACATTTTAAGATCCCTTGTGAATCAGTGGAGGATGTCTGTACCTCCAGGGCTAAGAGGACCTGACCAATTATTACTTGCAAATATTGGGATATAGCGTCCTTAAAATTACAAGAGGGAAAAAAAAATATCAAGGTCATTGTGGGCGGGTTGTAAATCACAGTGTGAAAGTTACAGTCTAGAATAAAGATGACTGTGGATAATTAAGTGCAAGTTTAAAAGGTGTGTAATGGATTCTCGGTCTTGTACACGAATATGTGTACTTAAAAAAATCACTACGTTCCTTGCAAAAGCAATAATAATAATAATAGTTATACTATTTTGTGGTTGCTTAATATGCAATACCCCTGTACTAAAAGGCTTATTTCCAAGATAAGTTTAGAGAGGTGTTCTGTTTTGTCTTAGTTGTGCTATCTCTTAATGGCAAAAAGAGTTTTGAAGAAGAGATGAGGTGAGAAATCAGTGGGAAAGAAAGAACCCAGGGAGAGTTGGAAAGAACTGCATTCTAGTGCCATTCCTGTCACTAGCTGTGGGTCATGAGTAAGTCAGTGACTCCTGCTGTTTTCTTTTCACTGCAACTAGGGAGTCAGACTAAATTCTTTCAGGCATATTTTAGCTTTTCCATGCTCACTTGCTATATGTTTATATGTAATTTAAGACTCTTGAACATGTCAGATAAGGAACCCTGGTGGCGCTGTGGTTAAGTGCTTGGCTGCTAACCGAAAAGTCAGTGGTTTGAACCCACCAGCTGCTTTGCGGGAGAAAGATGTGGCAGTCGGCTTCTATAAAGATTTACAGTCTTGGAAACCCTGTGGAACAATTCTGCTCTGCCCTGTAGGGTCGCTGTGAATCGGAATCAACTCGAAGGCAACGGGTTCGTTTGTTTGTTTTTAACATGTGAGATGATACATTTAAAACATTTACCTGAAGAAGTGTTGTTGTTGGGTGCCAACCAGTCCATTTCGACTCATAGCGACCCCATATGACAGAGTAGAACTGCTCCATAGGCTTTTCTAGGCTGTAGTTTTTATGGGAGCAGATTGCCGGGTCTTTCTCCTGAGGAGCCTCTGAGTGGGTTCAGACTGTCAGTCTTTCAGTTAGTAGCTGAGCACTTAACCATTGCGTCCACTAGCTCCTTGAAAAAGCATTAGTAAATTATATCAAAATATAACTAAAAATATATAATTCCGTAACTGTTTTGGTGTAGAACTACGCCAGTATTCATTTTGGATGTAAAGCAATAGGGTTATCTTAAGTCCCTTCAAACCGTTGAGATTTCTGTTCACAAAGCTGCGGTTGGAATAAAGAAAGTAGAGCATATTTTAAATAAAATGATGAGAACTGTGTTGCATTGCCTATTTCTAGGATTTTTGCTTAATAAAAGAAATTTAAGTATTTTTCTATGTAGAGAAGTAATCCTCAGCTTAACAGGTAGGTTCTAAAACAGCAAGAAGTAATCAGTGAATCATATAGTGTTTACTTCTTACTGCCCATGGCTCGATTCCTTTAATTCACAGGGACTGATTCAGAACCCGTGGAAAAGTGCATGGGTAATTTCAGTGGCCTGGCATTTAGCATAATGCCATGAATTAGTGAAGAACCTGATTGAGAAGTCTAGTAATGGCTCCATGGAGCTTTTTTCTGGAATTATAATTGAGCATGAGTCAGTGTAAACTTTTTTCGGCATAGAAGGCTGCATAGTGACAAAATCAGTACTATCAGGTGTAACAGGAAAGGCAGAGGAGAAGCCATTTTTATTTCTATGAGGTTGTTCCCTAACTCAGTTTTACTTTCATGTTAAGAAATGCAGATGTTTTATATTGCAGTGATGGTTCAGTGGTAGCATTCTTGCCTTTCATGAGGGCAACCTGAGTTCAGTTCCTGTCCAATGTGCCTGATGTACAGCTACCACCTGTCTGTCAGTGGAGGCTTGCATGTTGCTGTGATGCTGAACAGGTTTCAGTGGAGCTTCCAGACTAAAATAGACTAGGAAGAAAGGCTTGGCAATCTACTTCGTAAAAATCAGCTGATGAAAACCCTATAGATCAAACGGTTTGATCCTGCTGTGCATGAGGTCACTATGAATGTGGGGCCAGCTCCACAGGAGCTAAGAACAAAATAGAACATTAGGGCTGAGATTCAACTTTTCAATTGCACTAGATATAAAGGCACTTAAGCATCTAGGAAAATAATCAGTACGTTAATACCTTTACTTAAAGTTGAAAATATCTGCACTGTTTTGACTCAATAAAAATATAAGTGAAAGACAAGAATAAATAGAAAAACACTAACCAGAGTAGTGATTTGTTGATTAAGAATCTCTGGTAAGTTGAGTCTGCCCAGTTTAAAAAACATGTCTTTATGGACGCGTGTCAAGCTAAACTGTCAGTGGTAGCTGCCTGACCAAAAATGGCTTAGTGGTATGGTAATTTATTTATTTACTTATTTCCCTTTTTAGATCTACGGTGGGCAAAATGTAACATTTTCAGTTTGTCTTCTACCTTCCCAGCCTCCTCTTTTTCTTTGCTTTTCCTCTCAGGGTAGATTAATCTTCTCGGTTTAAAAGGTTGAATCCATACTTGCTCTCTTCACCTGTCTCTTGTCCTTCCATAAAACAGCAGGTGACATAAAAGTTAGTTTTTATACCATTCACTGATTAATTTTAGTTCAAACTTATGCTTATGTGTGATCTCAACCAGCCTTCTGATTTTAAGCCTTTGACCTGTAATTATGGAATGAAGAACTTTTTCACCTTATTGCAGAATTTTCAGCTTCAGCAAGTAGGTGAGGAAAGATTTTTCTTTTAGTGTTGGTGCTTTTGAATCATGCCAGCCCTGGTAAAGCCTGGTGTGAAAGCAGTTTACGTTATAAGTTACCTTTTTCTTTCTAAAGTCTCTTTTGGTGCAGTAGGTAGTAGAAGATAAGTAGCTGGCTTTCCCTCCTTCTTGGAAGAACATGCCTGGTTCATGCCCAGGAACAGCCTGAGCCTCTTACTGCTGGCTCTTACCATATCTGAAGGCTTTTTCCTAGAACTGTTTTCCCTGAGCAAAGGTTATCTATCGTGTTCTATCCTTACCCTACACTTAACTCCATTTCTTCTCTTGCCCCACTTGTTCCTTTTCCCACACCTCTGCCCCCTAAATGAAGATCCCCACATTGACATTTTGTACTGACTAAAACAGTAGTTAGTGATTTTCAGTTCACATCATCCCATACCTTCCAGGTTATTTCTGCTTTTTGTTAGGAGATTTCTGATGAAGTATGTCACTGGAATGCAGTGTTAATAGTGCTATTAATTTACATTTGTTTTTCACTTATGAGGCAGGTACACAGAAGAGCAAGTTTGTGTGAAGAGCAACGGCTATGTTCAGTTTTGTGCAGAATGTAATGATTTAAGGACTCGCTCTAGGAAGTGGACTCCCGAAACCTTTGATGGTACAAGTATGTTATGCTTTGACACTTTGTCCACCTACAAGTTTACAAAGGCTTCCTGGAGAACATGGCAATGGATTCCAAATTCCCTGCTTTAATTATGCATTCCTCACTAGCTTCCAAACTCAAGTCCTGTTTTTCTCCCAGGCTTCATCCCATAGCTCACCAGCCCTTCTGCTGTTACTTGAGAGTGATTTTGTTTAGGGGCTTTAGTTCAGACCCTGTGTTTTAGATCACATCTGTAGGCCTGGTTTTCTGGTTATACAGAAACCTACACGCTCCCTACATGCTTATGATACTTGCTGAAAGTATGATACTTAATGTAAAGCTTTAATAACTGAGGTTTCTCACCTCTGACAAGTAGTCCTCAGACTTTAGTGTTAGAGAAAGTAAATCCCTGGGGTGTGGTTAAGTTGTATCACTAATAATGTTGTTAGGAGGGACCAGTCGCTGGAGAAGGACATTATGCTTTGTAAAGTAGAGGTTCAGTGAAAAAGAGGAGGACCCTCAAAGAGATGGATTGACATAGTGGCCGCAACGATGGGCTTAATCATAGCAACGATTATGAGGATGGTGCAGGACTGGGCAGTGTTTCGTTCTGTTGTACATAGGGTAACTGTGAGTTGGAATCGACCTGACGACACCTAACAACAACAATGATGGGGACCCAGAAGCATTGTTTCCTTCTGGAGTTAGTAAGACTAGGAGTAAAACTCTGCCTCCCCCCACCGCAACTCTTTAAAGTTACCATTTTTTAAAGTGCTTACCATTTGCCAGGCAATTTTTCATTTAAGCAGGACAACAGTGCTGTGGGATAGATATTCTTATCCCCATTTTACAGGTGGTCAAACAGAAGCTTGGAAAGCTAATAGTAAGAGCCCTGGTGGTGCAGTGGTTGAGTGCTCAGCTGCTAACTGAAAGGTCGAAGGTTTGAACCCACCAACCGCTCTGTGGGAGGAAGTTATGGCAGTCTGCTTCCGTAAAGATTTACATCCTTGGAAACTGTGGGGGCAGTTCTACTTTGTCCTGTAGAGTCTCTATGAGTTGGAAGAAACTTGAGGACAATAGTTTTTTGTTTTTTTTTTTTAATGTTGTAATTTGAACCTGGCTCTCTGTTTTTAACCTCTGTGCAAAATTAATTTCCTACTCTGTTGATAATAAACTGAGTATTTACGTGATATTTTAAAAATTTGATTACTCCATTAGCTAATTATTAGGTGCAGCTATATAGCCTGGTATTTTAGGTAGAATTATTTAACTGTTAGGTTTGACCAGTTGTCAGTGTGGAATAAAATCAGAAGTAAAATAGCTTTATAAATAGTTTAAAGGTATATAGCTGTAACTTTGTTTACTCAACTGATTTTTTGCTGTAATTGTTAGATTTAAATTTAATGTATTTCTCTAATATATTAACAATTTTTTTGGCCTGATTTAAATTTAATATATTTCTCTAATATATTAACAATTTTTTTGGCCCTGTTGCAAAAAAAATTGTTTTGGTTTGAAAACTTGTGCTGTAAATTGTTAATTTTATTCTTTCAAACAGTGCAGTGTTTTAAAAAAAAAATTAACGGCATTTTATAGTTCTGAAACTTTGTCACATTCTTGTCATCCCAGAATTTCTTGTGTTTTTATGCCTAGCATTACTTTTATACCACATCATTGGCGATTTGATTCCACGGTGATGGTCTAGCACTGAAATGTTGGCCTCATTTTGGGTGTTAAACACCTGCTTTGTAGCTCTAATGACTGTCAGTGTAAAGCAGGCGTTTTCTTGATTTTAAGCCAGTAAGTGACTGGAATTTGACTCATGGATGGTTGACCTATGCTGTTACCTAATGTTAGTGACAGAAACTACTGTTTTGCTGTAGGAAGCCAGCCTGGAGTCATAGCCTTAGCAACATTACTGACTTTGGCCATGATTCAGAACATTTCGTTGTACTACATTTAATTCTGTTTGAAACTTTTTCTGAAAGAAGATGAATTTGCCATTAGGGTAGTAGTTCCTTTACTTTGTCATTCCAAATTTTGTCTCTGCTTATAATCGAAGGTGTAGCCAAGGAGGCCACTTTAAATTAGCTTAGAAAATTAGAGTAGGAACAAATTAATATTTGGCAGTCTAACACTCAGGAACCCTAAAAATATTGACCCTGGGAGAAAATATACAGGTTTTTTTTTTTTTTTTTTTTCCCCATCTAGAAAGGGAATGGAAATGTTATGATTATGATTTTCATGTGTGTTTCATGTCCTTAATATGTAATAGTTTGCTGTTGCTGTGGTAAGCAATACACTTAACAAACTCATGTCCTTCATTTCCTGTCTTGTCCTTAACCAGAACCTTGAGAGCCATCCTAGAATTTGCCCTTTGCTTCTAGTCGATCATCAAGTCCTATCAGTTTTACTCGTAAGTTCTCTTGAATCTGCCCGTTTTCAGCATGCCTTAAGTATTCCTGCCACACCCCCATACTCCACTTATAAGTTACCATTTTGGGGATGCTTATTATATGCCCTCATCATTTCTCACCCGGCTAACAGTGAGCCTAGCTTATTGCACATACTCAGTCTTGGTGCTTTATCCACTTATCGAAGTTCATTCTTCAAAGTGTTGCTATTCCTGAAATGCAGATTTGATAATGGGCATTTTTCTGTCTGAAATCTTAAGTCATTCCACTGTGGCCAGGGTGAAGTCCAAACTCCTTGGCATGGCTTAACAGTATTTTTCCAACTGAGGATCGCTCTCAATTTGTGCATTATGAAATGAGTTTAGTGGGCTATGACCAACATTACATATTTTTATTATAATGGAATAGAATGAAATAAAATAGAAATACCAGTGCATCACATCTGGTAAGCGTAAATACAATTTAATTAAACTCTTTCAGTTATTCATATATTTATGTGTTTACTGGTAATGTTATAAAAAATATTTCTTAGAGTTGGTTGTGGTCAACAGATTAGATGTATCTTACCCCATTCTTCCACATGCAGTGACTCCAGTCATTTCAGTTTACTTAGGTTTTCTCTGCCTGCTTTCATACCTTTGCTTATTGTGTTCCTTTGGTCAGAAGAGCCTTCCTCCATTTTTCATCTAGCTTACTCCCAGTCTTCACTCTCTGTAGGAAGCTTTTCATGATGGAAGCTTACCATAAGAAATACATTTTGTAACACAACTTGGCACATACATAAGTATTTGCTAAATAATGATCTGACCTTTCTGTTTGATGCTGAGCGCATTAACCATTTACACCACTGAGGGTGAGCCATAAAACCCGTTGGCATCAAGTCAGTTGTGACTCACAGCAACTGTATAGGATGGAATAGAACTGTCCTGTAGGGTTTCCAAGGAGTGGTTGGTGGATTTAAACTGCTGACCTTTTGGTTAGCCCCCAAGCTCTTAACCACTGCACCACCAGGGCTCCAGGGTGAACTATAGTATATATATACTCTATAAATGTTTATTGAATTAATGAAATATTGAATCGGTACAGGTTATCTAGAACTCTTTACAGTGTTATTATTTAAGCTGTAGAAACTAACTTTTATGGTTGACTCTCCTAAAGGTTTCATTACGGGAGGATAATTTAGAAGTTGACTCTCTTAATGGTTTTATTACAGGAGGATAAGTGTTTTAAAAACATTTTAAACTAAAACTTGCTTCAGTTTGAAACTCTTTATTCTGTTTATCATTTGTGATTAAAGACTTCTAGCCTCACCAGTCTCATCTTGAGAGAGATTTCATTGCAATCTGTCACATCTTTGATCTCAGAATCTATTGTCATATTGCGATTTGTGTTGAAGGAAGTTTGATGAATCCCAGATGATGGACTGGTTGTTAGGTGCCGTTGAGCTGATTCCGACGCGTAGTGACGTGTAACAATGAAATGTTGCCTGGTCCTGCGTCATCCTCACAATTGTTGCTTTGTTTGAGCCCATTGTTGAAGCCATTGTGTCAGTCCGTCTTGTTGAGGGTCTTCCCCTTTATCCCTGACCCTCTACTTTACCACGCATGATGTCCTCCAGGGATTGGTCTCTCCTGATAACATCCCCAAAGTAAGCGAGATGAAGTCTTGCCCTCCTTGTTCTAAGGAACATTCTGTCTGTACTTCTTCCAAGACAGACTTTTTCGTTCTTTTGGCAGTCCATGATATATTCAATATTCTTTGCCAACACCATAATTCAAAGGCATCAGTTCTTCTTTGATCTTCCTTATTCATTGTCCAGGTTTCACATGCATATGAGGTGATTGAAAATACCCTGGCTTGGATCAGGTGAACCTTAGTCCTCAAAGTGACATTTTTTTTTAACACTTTTAAAGAGGTCTTTTGCAGCAGATTTGCCCCATGCAATATGTTGTTTGGTTTCTTGACTGCTGCTTCCACGGGCGTTGATTGTAGATCCAAGTAAAATAAATCCTTAATATGATGGACACTTGATGCTAATTTGATTTTATGAGAATTGGGTGGTTTCAAAAGAGAACGTTCATGTATAATGGTAATCAAGTGCAAAGTTTTTGGAGGTGGGGCTGGATATTAAAGCACAGAATCAGGTGGGATTGAATCATCTTTTCTGATTCTTTCTGAATTTAAGACTTGTAATTAGCATTTTCACAGTTAGAATATTTAGCTGCTTTCAGTTTTTGTCTTTGTGACATCATTATTTGTTAAACCATTAACAGGTATTCATGGAGAACTGTTATTGAGAACAGCCATTTGGTGGGATATAATTGAAAAAAAAAAAGAATGAATCAGAATCAGGATAAAGGCTCTAAATGCTAATACTAGAAAAATTACAACACATCTCAGTGAATTTGCAAGTGGTAAGTTTGCATTTATTTTTATATAGGGATATATCTGAATTATGTGACATAGTATCCTTGAATGTTTGGGAAGATACATAATACGCATATAAAGTGAGTCAAGTCTTATGTTTAGATGTACTTAATATTGTTGATTAGCAAAAAATGTAGTTATGTTTATTTAAATTTCTTGATATTTAACTTTTAACTAAACATTATTGTTAAATGAGACTTTTTTCATGGGGGATATAAATAATATGAGCTTCAGAAATGTCTTTTTGAATGTTAAGTCTTAACGTGAGTTTATTTATGTATATATATCCCAGAAAGTTCCCTCATGCCCCTTCCTAGTCTGTTGGCTGCCCCTCAACAGGCAACCACTGTTAAGATTTTTCCCCACTGTAGACTCTGCCTGTGTAACTTAATTTTTTCTCTTAGCAGTGTGTAGTGGATAGCCATATGCAGATTTAGCCTATCTCCTTTTTTCTATTTTTAAAAATTTCAGTAGCTTGGAAATAAAACCTCTTGCCGTCGAGTTGATACCAACTCAGCCACCCTATAGGACAGAGTAGAGCTGCGCCGCAGAGTTTCCAAGGCTATAATCTTTTACGGAAGCAGACTGCCACAGCTTTCTTCCTGCAGTGCGGCTAGTGGATTTGAACTTCTGACCTTTCATTTAGCACCTGAGCACTTAACCACGGTGCCACCAGGGCTCCTAGCTTGGAAAAAATGTATGCTATGAATTTGTTATATTTTATTTAATCATTTCTTTCCCTCTATATGGATGTTTATCTTGTGCCATATTTTTGTGATTACAGAAAGTGCTCTGTGGAACATCCTTGTATGTATATGTACCTGTGCACTTTCGTGAGGACTTTTGTAGGTATTACTAGAAGTAAAACCGCTGAGTTATTTTGATAGGCACTGCCACATTGCCTTCTGAAGATGATTGCATTAGGTTACACCCACACCAGTAATGCATGAGAGTGTCCTTTTTTCTGTGTCCTCTCAACATTAGATATCATCAGTCTTTCTACAGTTTTTTCAAAGACCGGGTGAAGAATGTACCTAGTTATTTCACGTTTTCCTCTTTATTTTCTTTGTTTGCCTCTTACCAGTCGTATGTTGTAATATTTTCCCCAGGGATGCTTTTGTGTCTTTTTAACTTTATTTTGGGTGTGTTTTGTGCTTTAGAAATTTCAATCTTCATGTGGTTAAATATGGTTTATGAGTTTCATTCTTGTGTGTAAAGACCTTCCTTATTCCAAAATTATAAAACCACTTGATAATTTTTTCTAAGAGTTTTGCTTTTTATTTGGAATTTAGAAGAGAAAGTGAACTGAAGTACCAGGGAGAATATAATGTAGAGAATGAGATTCAAATTGGTCTTGAAGTATGAGTTTAAATAGAGTAAGCAGAAAGGTAGAGACATTTCAGACAGGATGAATGGAAGATGGAATATGTTTCATATGTGTGGACCAGTGATAAGACCAGTTTGGCTGGGCTGGAGAGTCATATGTAATTGTAAGTTTAGAGATACAGGTTTGGTTAGATTTCTTGTTAAGTATTTTGGCTGATCCTTATGATTTTCTAAATCTGCTTTCAGATGTTGCAGTTTTCTGTCAATATAGTAGTTTTCTGTCATTTTCTTTTCATAATGACTTGAGTATTTTTCCTGAGGAGAATATGTGATGAAATATATATAGTTGCCTTAAAAGATGAAAGGTAGTATCCTACCAGAATTGTTTGGGCATTGTAAATGTTTACTTAGTGTAGTTTAGTAGAGTTAAATTATAATTTCTTTTAAAAAAAATTTGTGCTGTAGTAATTTACATCATTATGAAATTAATTACTGCACTCTAGTATAGTTACCAGATAGCAATCTTAAAAAATGTTGAAGTACCAGTATGTCCGCTGCTTACATCAAAGTTTGAGTTATGAGCTCACTATTTAATATACAGATTAGTATGTTGGAATCTCTAGCCAGTAAAAAAGGTATTTCACAAATGCCACGCTTGCTTAAGACCAAGTAGCAGCACTGTAGCCAGTTGGGTTGTTGCTTCTGATGTGTAATAGTTTCTGTTCAGCCATAAGTCATGCCTGGTAGGTGTTAGCTGAGTAGAGTAATTCTGATTCTACAACACTGCCAGTTACTTGTTTGTGGCCATACTCTGACTTGGAGCTCTTGGAAGACCACTGTTTACTTCTCTACAACTCAGGTATTATTATTTTTAATAATATTCAACATCTTATTTGTTCATTGTTCTGTTTTTCTCTCTTATGCTTGCTTTTCCTTGGGGCTGCCTGTTCTTTTAGAGCTTGTCTTCTACCTGTATTTATATCCAGGAAAAATTGCCACATTTTTAAATATTCTATTTTTTCACTTTCTGATACTTTCTGTTATGAGGGATTTCTTCTGGTGATTAGGAAAATTTGTTATTTTCTGGCAGAGGAAAACACAAATAGAGTTCAGAAATATGAATGAGTATTTGATAATTTTGTTTTGCTGGCGTTCGTGCTTTTCTGTTTCTAGTGTTAATACATTTAGAAGTAAGTAATAAAATTGCTCTGTCCTATTTAGTTATTGGAGAGCCCTGGTGGCACAGTGGTTAAGAGCTTGGCTGCTAACCAAAAGGTCAGCAGTTCAAATCCACCAGCCACTCCTTGGAAACGCTGTGGGGCAGTTCTGCTCTGTCCTGTAAGGTTGCTATGAGTCGGAATCGACTTGATGGCAGTGGATTTGTTTTTTTCTTTTTCTTTTTTTGGTTATGGAAGATAGGATGGGGGAGGGTAGTCTTTTAAAATGAAATATTCCCTAATCTTTTTTTCTTTGTTCTGATAGATTTATAGCGTTGAAGAACATTGGCAAGACCTCTAAGGGAAAGTACCCTGAGTTTCTTCAACCGATGATACACTATTCTTAGAATGAAGTGGTCTGGGATATAAACCGAAAACCTAGGGGTCAACCTTGACTCTCTCATCTGTAACCCCTAATAGCCAATCAATCAGTAAGGCTGGATGATTTGATTCAGTTTCTTGAGTTGGTCCCTTCTCCAAAACTAATTTTGCCTTTTGTCTTCTCTGAGCTTCCTAACTGATCTATGCCTTTAATTTTATCCTCCATATTAGAGCTTCAGTAATTTATTTAAAATACAAATCTCATGTATGTTCCAATAGCTTTCCAATGCCTATTAATGAAGTCTTAGCATTCTGACATGGCACGTTTAAGCCCTTCATAATGTAGCCCCTTATTTCTTACCACTCTCACCACTGAAAACTATGCTTTACTATTTAAAAAAAAAAAAAAGTTACTGTTGAGTTAACCTTAACTCATGGTGACCCCATGTGTTTCAAAGTAGAACTGCACTCCATAGGGTTTTTAATGGCTGTGACCTTTTGGAAGTAGATCGCCAGGCCTTTTCTCCGAGGCACCTGTGGGTGAATTTGAACCACCAACCTTTTGGTTAGTAGCTGAGTGTTTAATTCTCTGCACTACCCTGGGACTCCTATGCTTTACTGTAGGCAGCTTATAATACCTCCCACGTTCTTTACTGTTGTGTACCTCTTGCTTTTCCTTCTGTTTGTGGTATCTTTGTTACTTTTCTTTTCCTGGATAACTTTTACTTATCTTTTTACACTGAAGCCAGAGTTGACGTCCTACAGGAAGTCTTGCTTGAACCCCAATTTAGTGAATCTCCATCTTCTGTGCCCCAGTAACATCCTATGCACGTCTCGTATTAACCACATTGTACTAAACTCTTTTTATGACTCTTTTCCCCATTAGACTGTTAGCTCCTGTAAGCAAATACCGTTTCTTATTCATCAGTGTATCTACGTAACCGGTATGTAAACCTGTTGCCGTCAAGTTGATTCCAACTTGTAGAGACCCTATGGGACAGAGTAGAACTGCATGATAGGGTTTCCAAGGAGTGGCTGGTGGATTCGAACATGCCTACCTTTTGATTAGTAGCTGAGCTCTTAACTGCTGCTCCACCGGGGCTCTGACTGGTACATCCCGTTGCCGTAGAGTCGATTCCGACTCATAGCGACCCTGTAGGACAGAATAGAACTGCCCCATAGAATTTCCAAGGAACGCCTAGTGAATTTGAACTGCCAACCTTTAGGTTAGCAACCATAGCTCTTAACCACTGTGCCGTCAGGGTTTCCAAAGACTGGCAACATAAGGGAGCCTTAATGAATATTTGTTGAACTAAGTGACTTCAGCTCATTGCTGTGACATTGAGGTCTTAGTGAAGTTTCTTGGATCAGTGGTGACTAGATACCAGTTGGCTGTTTCAAAAACATCTGTAGAGAAATTTTTTTGAAAATTATTGATTCTGAGCTTTATTCCATAAAGAATTGTGATTCAGTGAATCTGGAATGGGGCCTGGTAATATATATTTTTTAAAAAGCTTCCTATTTGATTCTGGTTTGTTCACAGTTTGAGAACAATTGTGCTAGTTTATTATTGTATGTATTACATTATATTTTATGTGAAAGGTAGCCCCTAGATCTCATACAGTAATTTATTGTTTAAACTTCAGAAGTTGTGTCTACTAAAGTATAGATATACTGAAGTCATGTTTTTGGTACCATATTGACAGAAGCATCTTAACTTTAAGTTTCTCCTTTGGAGGTCTGTTGCAGTTTGTTAACTCTCTACTGAAAAAAAAAAAAAGATCCCATTTAAACAGGAGTCTTCCTGAATTGATAGTAATAAGATGACTTGGGCTTCATTCCATGAATTTAAATATTTTTGGCAATTTGTAATTACTTTTCACTTTTTATTACAGTTTTTCAGAATGATTTTTAAGCTTTTTATTGTGGCATAACATGTACATTAAGGAGCCCAAGTCTTAAGTGTACAGCTGAGTGAACTTTTACATTTGAGTGGTTAAGAGCTTGGCTGCTAACCAAAAAGGTCGGCAGTTTGAACCCACCAGCTGCTCCTTGGAAACCCTGTGGGGCAGTTTTCTTCTGTCTTATAGGGTTGCTGAGTCAGAATTGACACCCTGAGTCAGAATTGACTTGACGGCAACTTACCATTTATTTTTATAAATAATACCCATAAAGCACTCAGGTATAGAATATTTCTATCTATAGACGGAACATTTCTAGTCCCTCAAAGGTTCCCTGATGTCTATTTCTTGTTAATATATAACCCTCCACCAAAAGATAACCACTATTTTGACTTATAGGCCATCAGTTAGTCTCATGATTAAAGCTATTAAAAATTTTTGTACATATCTTTTGGTAGTATATGTAGTCATTTCTCTTGGATTTACACATGGAATTGCTGGATTATAGGATAGACTTGTGTTTACCTTCAGTATATAATGCCAATTTCCATTATTGATAGCAGTTCACAATGAAAAATGGAAATTAAATTATTTGAAGCTGATGGTGAAATTTGAGTATCAGGAGACTTCTCTTTGTTTGCCAGAGTCATTTATATTATCATAAAAAGAACCCAACACACAAAGAAAACTAAATAAGCCATTTTATAGGTACCATAAATGTAGTTTTGTTTTAGTCAAATAGTTTTTTTCTATATAAATAATTTTGTTTTTTTCCTTCTCCTTAGGCCCATCTTTCCTTGTGGGTTGGCAGGCAGATAAATAAGGCTGCAGAATGGGTCTCCGGATTCACTTTGTTGTTGACCCACATGGTTGGTGCTGCATGGGTTTGATTGTCTTTGTCTGGTTATACAATGTTGTTATAATTCCCAAAATTGTCCTCTTTCCTCACTATGAAGAAGGACATATTCCAGGCATATTAATAATAAGTAAGTTTCTAGCTCTTTATTTATTTCCTTGTATAATTAAAAATTTTTCTCACTGTGAATGTTTTTGGAGTATAGTGCCACTATGATTAGCTTTGTTTTAATACCACTGTGTTATTAATATTAAATTATTTACTATATTATGGAAGTTTTAAAAAAGAATGATCTTTATATATTTTGCAGGGTTAGATAAATGTGATCTATCTCCATATTCTCTAACTCTGCAAAATATATAAAGGTCATTTTGTTTAAAAAAAAACAAACAAAAAACTGGCACAGCAGTGGTGTGTGTATTTTGGAACCCTGGTGACGCAGTGGTTAAAGCACTCTACTGCTAACTGAAATGGTGGTCTGAACCCACCAGCCACTTGCGGGAGAATGATGTGGCAGTCTGCTTCCATAAAGATTACAGCTTTGGAAACGCTATGGGGCAGTTCTACTCTGACTCATATGGTTGCTATGAGTCAGAATCAACTCGATGCTGCGGGTTTTGGTGTATATTTTTGATGTTTCTGTTTTGTACTTGCAAATACGGAGTTTTAAGAATGGAGATGGTGTACATTACTGGGAAATGAGAATTTCATGATACTAAAATTGTTAATTATAATGTTATAACAGTTTGAACTTCTGGATAACTCTTTTCTGGCAGTGACTTTCTAATGATTAGAAGAATCTGATCAGAATGATATACTTCACATGTCCATGGCACTTACAGTTTCCGTGTACATGGCCTCATTTTGACCTCATAAGAGCTGTGAGAAATCTCTGTATTGTACAGATGAGGAAACTAACCAGCACCATGTGGGCAGTCCTGGAGCCAGCGGGCCAACTGTGTTTCTGTTCCATGTGCCTTTTCTTTTGTAACAAAATGGCCTGTGTTCTTACTAATTTCACATGTAGAATTGTGGTGACTGAATCTATTCCCTCGCTGTCAGTTTTTCTGGTTTTTCATTTTAAAATTTAAAAGTTTCTGTATTCTTTATTTTCAAATTATGTATCTTAAGATCCATCAGAAGGGGCAGTTGAACTTCACTTATTCAGAGTAATGTTGAAGATAGCCAGTTAGAGTTAATGAAAAAGTTTAATAATTGACTTTTTTTAAAAAATGGTGTTTTGATCCATTCAAATATAGCACATATAGTAATTAGTAGGGAACCCATTCATTTATGTCATTACTAGTAAGGAATTTCTGTTAATAAAGACTCTGATTTATAGCAAGGTTATCAGTTACTATCCTGCAAAAATAAGTACATTAAAGATAGTTTTCTTGGCATTATTTGTGAGTGAAATGGACTAGTCATTAAATTTTTTTCATCTTTCAAAATTATTAATTCTGATGGTACTAATTAAAATACTCATTTTAAACTTTAAATATGCTTGTTGATAAAATGTTTTGAATGGTAACTGATTTGTTTCTTTCTTTTAAAGTATTCTATGGCATTTCCATATTTTGTTTGGTTGCCTTATTGAGGGCCTCAATAACCGATCCAGGAAGACTTCCTGAGAACCCTAAGATCCCACATGGAGGTATGGTATTCTTCAGATTTGAGACTTTTATTGATGCCAGAAGTATCTTTTTAATGTATTTCATTGACTTTAATATGTCTTAGCTACATACATGTTATCTAACGCTACTTTCAAGCCTTTGCTCAGATATTCCCTTTCCAGACTTCTCTGTTTAAAATTAAAACTCCCACCTGACTCTTCCATCCCCTCACTCCCTGGTTTCCTTTTCAGTTTACTTGTTTGTTTGTCCCCCTCCTTCCACTCTATAGCTCTCTAGTTAACTCTGTGAGGGTGTAGATATTTTCTTTTGCTTTCTTCATTTGTTCAGTGCTGTATCCCTAGTGATCAAAACAGTCTCTATTACTTAGTAGATGCTGGGTATGTATTTGTTTAATGGTTACATAATTACCTGAGAAATTATATTTTAATTTAATAAATAAATTTTCTTGATGTCATTTATCGTATGATATTATAAATACATTACTTGGTAAATGTTTGTAGTATTATGGATACTATTGCCTGTATTTCTCCAGATTCTAACAATTCAGTGAAAATTTTGAAAGCCTCTTTTATTCTCATTCCAGTTGAAGGGAATATTTGATCATCCTAGTGCATAATAATCATTCCACCCACAAAAATGAATTGAAAATGTATTTTTTTGTTTTATTGTATGCCAGATATAGTACAAAAAATCCAAAAACCAAACCCACTGCCGTCGAGGCCGTTCTGACTCATAGGGACCCCGTAGGGTTTCCAAGGCTGTAAATCTCTACAGAAGCAGACTGCCACATCTTTCTCCCTCAGAGTGGCTGGTGGTTTGGAACCAGTGACCTTTCAGTTAGCAGTCAAGCACTTCAACCACTGCAGTACCGGGGTTCCTTCATTTGCTATATAAGCTGTGAGAACTCTCTGCACTTTTTTTGTTGTAAGAAATTTATGTGTCTTTGACGTGCATTACAGAGCCAGAATACTTTTTATAGTGGTTCCCAAACTTGCTGCACATTAGGATCACCTGCGGAGCATTTAAAACTTCCCAATGCCCTGGTGACACTCCATATTTATTAATTCAGAGTGGGGGCAGGGGGAGGGCATGGGAGCCAGGTATCATTTATTTTAAAGATCCCAGGTGATTTCAGTGTGCAGTAAAGTTTGGGAACTGATGCACTAGTTCTTCACAAAATCAGTTTGAAGGGGAAAGTCACTTATAGAGACTCCTGAGTTCCTGTTTGTTGTTTTTTGAGACCCATCATTTAAGGGGCTTACTGGGCCTTGCAAGTTTAGAGGTTAAATGGGAATGACATGACACTCATGTTTATGTAGCTGTGGAGGTTTCTCAGAATCTCTTCTCTTCACAACTGGCTTAACCAAAGGCTCTCTACACTATCGCGTACATGTATTACCTACTTCAAGTCGAAAACTCAGTGGCCCCAGAAAATGAAGCAGGCTTTTGCTCATTTAGAACTCATTTTAAATGAACTCTTTAGTTCACAGGGGTCAAAAACTCAACTGCCTGTATGTGCCAGACACTACAAGTCAGGAGCAGGGCCAGGTAGGAACTATTTCGTATCGAAAGTCTCATACTTTATCTAAAGGAAATGACTCCCGCACAGCTGCAGTGAAGTTGTCGTGTGTGCCCGATACTATTAGATCTTACAGTTTTTTAAGAGATAACAGAGAATCCCAATTTTTATGGAACATTTCGTGATTTAAAAAAAAAATGTTGGCAACTAATTCAAAATTTTAAAAAGATTGTGAAGATAAATTTTATTTATGGTTCTGAGTCTTCATCTAACCACTGTGTTACCTTTAGCTTATGGACTCTAGGGATTGAAAACACCGTGGCATCTTGCTGACTATTTGGATGTCTGCATTATATCTTGTTACTGTTGGCGTTTGCCCTGTTTTCCTATACTGAATCCAGAAAACTTTCTTCTTGCCCAACTGAAAAAAATGCATTGTTTTATCATATCTTAATGTTTCCAAAGTCTTTTGGGACCTCATATCATATGATCCTCATGGTAATTGTATGAGATGGATAGTCTGGGTAATCATAGTCAGGAGCATAGATTGTCCTTTCTAGATCACACAGCTGGTTGCAACAGAGCTGGGGTGAGATCCAGATCCTTGTCTCCATCATCTTTCTATCGTGAATCTACACAGAGATGAATAATTTTAACTCTTCATTCACCTGTGCTTTGATTCTGGGGAAAACTGAAATCATCACATGCTTTTTGGTTATGGTTACTTGATTCATTTGTAAATATGATTTTAACTTAGTAAAAAAAAATAAAACTTTAACTGTGAAAAATAATATAGCCTGACGAAAGAGTTGAGGCTGTAAAATAGTGGTTTGTTCAGCAGTATTGAAGGTTGAGCAGTTTCATATCATCGAGTTCTTCAAAAAAGGAAATGTTTATGATTTTAACCATTTTTATTTAATTATTCTGAAATAATTTTACATACCTTTCTGTTTTCTTAGACACAATAACTTGTATATTGAGACCCAGTATACGTATATGCCCAAATATGAGGCAATTTGAGTATAAGCGAATGCCCCATTTTCCCAATGATACGATCCCTAGAACTTGATTATATAAACTTCTGGGCATATAGATGAGATGGTCAAATGAAATTGTTGAATATCTATTCATATTATTCAAATTATTCTGTAGTTACACATGCATGTTTGAAATAACAAAAACAAAATAATACTTTAATTTAAAAATATTACCTTTACCACTTTGACATTCTATGAAATGATTTTATTCAAGATCTTTAAAAAACAAACAAACAGCTTTTTTGTGTATAATTCATATAAAACCCAAAAACCTACTGCTGTTGAGTCGATTCTGACTCATGGCTGCTCTGTAGGACAGAGTAGAACTGCCCCGTAGGGTTTCCAAGGCTGTAAATCTTTATGGAAACAGACTGCCACATCTTTCTCCTGTGGAGCGGCTGTTAGGTTTGAACTAGTGACCTTTCTGTTAACAGTCTATTGCTATAAGCACTGTGCCACCAGGATCATAATTCATATACCATATATGATTTCTATAAGCACTGTGCCACCAGGATCATAATTCATATACCATATATAATTTCTATAAGCACTGTGCCACCAGGATCATAATTCATATACCATATATAATTTACCCATTTAAAGTGTACAATTCAGTGGCTTTTTAGTATAGTCACAGAATTGTTCGACCATCACCACCACCGATTTTAGAACATTTTTATCATTAAACTCTTAACTTGCATGTTTGAGTGTTTTACATTACTAGAGGCACTTTAGGAGCCCTGGTGGTGCAGTGGTTAAGAGCTATGGCTGCTAACCAAAAGTTTGGCAGTTAAAATCCACCAGCCGCTCCTCAGAAACCTTATGGGGCAGTTCGACTCTGTCCTACAGGGTCACTATGAGTTGGGATTGACTTGACGGCAACGGGGTTAGAGCCACTTTTGACACAGTATTACAGAGCAAACGTCTTAATTCCACTTAGGTTGTTTTAAATATAGCATGTTTTGAATTTGTCTGATGCTGTCCCTCACAATTTTGCCCCAGGTTGTAAGTGTGCATATAATTGCATATAATAAAGATCAGCGTCCGGTATTCACTCATATTTTTGCTTTTTCCCTTCCTTTTCTATTACTTTTTAAAGGTGATATGTAAGATACTTGTTGACAGTGATTTCCTACACTGGCAACTGATTCTGTCAGGGGACCTCTATTAGGACCCAAACCTTGTACTGATTTTGATAGTTTCAAGTTATATTTTTCTCCCCAAAATATTACTTTGTGATTTAAGATAGAATAATTGAAAGACGATCTCTTAATATGAGAGTCTTTTAAAAGACTCAGTAGAAGGTGACACCTTCCTTTCTGAAGGATAAAGAAAACAGAACAAAAGAAACCTTTTTAATCATTCAGGCGTTTAAGGCATTCATAAGGATCCAGGTTAAACAATATAATGCTATTTTGTCACATTAAATATCTTCAATCTTTTATGGGGTTTGTTTTTTTTTTCTTTGTTTTATGTTTTGATTTTTCTTTCCCTAAAAAAAATTTATCTGTGTAATGAAACCCTGGTGGTATAGTAGTTAAGCACCACAGTTGCTAACCAAAAGGTCTGCAGTTCAGATCCATCAGGTGCTTCTTGGAAATGCTGTGGGGCCCGACTCTATCGGGTCGCTATGAGTTGGAGTCGACTTGATGGCAACGGGTTTGTTTTTTTGGTTTCTATAATGTATTAAGTTTGCTATGATTACCGCAAATTATCAGTTAGAGTCTCTTTTTCAACCCTGAAGAGGGAAAAGGAAAAGACTAAGAGATGGTGTATAGATATGTAGGATAGATTAAGATTGGTGGTATTTTTTTTTTTAATTGCTACGAAAAAATCATTTATGTCCCGGGAACCTTAAAATCTAAATTTACATTTTATAGACGATACTTAAATTGAATTTCTAGATTTTTACAGTAACGATGTCTTCTTTGTTTCCAGAATACATTGTTTGTGTGTGTGTGTGTGTGTGTGTGTGTGTCTGTGTGAAAATGTGAATTCACATAGATGTTTCTTATTTTGGATGCCTTAAATTTAGCCAAAGGAATGGTTCAAGCTCTTTGTTTAAACACATTTGTTGTCTAGACCAGAGATTGGCAAACTTTTTCTTTTCTGTAAAGGGCCAGATGGTATATATTTTCAGCTTTTGGGCCATACAGTCTCTGTTGCAACTACTCAGCTCTGCCATTGTAGTACAAAAGCCGTCATAAATGATATGTAAATGAATGGGTGTAGCTGTGTTCAAATACAACTTTATTTATGGACACTGAAATTTGAATTTCATACGATTTTTACATGTCACGAATTATTTTAAAAAATTTTTTTTCAATAATTTAAAATAATAAAAACTCTTCTTAGTTCACAATTTGTACAAAAACAAGTGATGGGCTGAATTTGCCCACAGACTGTACCTTAGTTTGCTAACTTCTGGTCTAAACTACAGAATTGTAGGCGTTCTCTGACGGTAACCAAATACTCTCTTCTGAGACTACAGCCTTTTAGGTATGAAAGGAAGAATTCATTCTCTAGAATATTATGTGTTGCTTTCTTTGAAATTGCGAGTAATGAATACATCATATTTTTGTTTTCAGGGACTAGTTTAAGAACGTAAAGTTTGTATGTTGTCTTTTCAATGAAAACTGGGTAATTGTGTTAGTAGTATGAAGAATCTACTTCATGTCTGTATTCTTTGCAATATATGAATTCAAAGTTTTAGCCTAACATTGGGATGTTTGGGAGCATCCAGCTAAGTGGGAAAAAACTGACATGCTTGTTACATCACGTTATATTACATATTAAATGAGTTTCCATCTCACAGTTTAACTATCTCTAAATTAAGCTTTAATATTGTTGTTCTTTCACATGATATTGTTTTCATTAAAAGAAGAACTGTTAGTAAGAAATCAAGGAGGATTTTATTTAAAAATGAGACTTTAAATGTAAAAGATAATTTCTCAACTTTTATATTATTGGAACAATTATTTTGACATAGGTTTTATTCACATTTTATTGATTTCTTTAGAGACGTCTGTATCTATTGCTGAGTCGTAGTACAGCTGCCCCATAGGGTTTCCAAGGCAGTAACCTTTACGGAAGCAGACTGCCACATCTTTCTCCTGCGGAGCAGCTGCTGGGTTCAAACCACTGACCTTTCAGTTAGTGGCTGAGCACTTAACCACTACAGCCAGGGCTGTTACAGACATCTATAGCGAAATGTTTTTTCTAACACTTTGCTGTATAAAATTGCAGCATATTGATGTCACTTCTGTCCAATAAACTAAAAAAGTGGAATTCAAATAAGAAAAATATCTTTAGACAGTTGAAGACTACCTACTAGTATCTTCTTTTACTTATATTTAGAATAGTTCATTTCTTAGTTGTAAACTTTTCATACTTCAGTAAGCATTCAGTGAGCGCCTCCTGTGTGTTTCTTTTTAATGAGGTTATGTGGTAGTTTAAATATAACTGATGGAAGGTATAAGGATTTTGTACAAGTACTATCCCATTTCAACAAATATGAAAAACATACATTCTTCATAATAAAGCAGTTGTCTTGTCTTGGTAGATGACTCTCCTATATAGTTTTTATGTGTCTGCTTACAGCAGTTTATAATGAAAACAAGTGCTTTTTCTCTTTATTTCTGAAAACTTAGTGTTTCTAGCACAGAGTGTTATTGTGTGCTCTTTTCACTTTAGGCTGGAGGAAACTGTTACTTGGCCATAGGGCAGAGTTTTGTAAAGAACTCCTTTCTTCCATTAAATAGCGGTTGTCTTCTAACCTTCACTACCGAAAGTATTGATACCTCCTAAACTCATCTGACATCCTTCTCCAGCTCCCATACACAATCCAAACAAATCCACTGATAATAAATAAAAAAAAAAAAAAAAAAAAAATGATTTAGAGAAACCAAAAACCAAAACCAAACCCATTGCCATGGAGTTGATTCTGACTCATAGCGACCCTATAGGACAGGGTAGAACTGTCCCATTGGGTTTCTAAAGAGCAGCTGGTAGATTCGAACTGCTGACCTTTTGGTTATCAGCCAGAGCTCTTAACCACCGTGCCACCAGGGCTCTGATTTAGAGAAAGAAGGGGAGAAATACCATATATTTTTCAGTGAGTTTATAATGTTGTTTAGATTTATTAATCTGCTACAACCAGGGCTCAGCATCATTTCTTCTTTAGTGTGCTTACATAATGTTATTTCCAGAAATTAATTCATTTAAATAAAATTCTCTTTAATGTAATATTTTAGTTGTACTTTAGGGTTTTATCATTGAATTTTACTTATGTTTTATTTAGAAATATGTCCAAAACCCAAACACATGGTTTTCTTTCCCTTACTTTGACTATAATAACAATGGTATCTTATTTTATAGTGTTTAAAATTAGAAAATACAAAATAATACACGCATGGAATGGAACAGCAATGTTTACAACGAATGCATTTACATTGGAGATGTAGAAGAAGTAATATCTCTCAGATATATTTTGAAGACTTCCTATGAAACCTTGTAAACATTTTATAGTTTTATTTCAACTTCTAGTCATCTGCTTTCATTAAATGGATTTTAATTTCCTTCTATAGAAAGGGAGTTCTGGGAACTCTGTAACAAGTGTAATCTGATGAGACCAAAGCGTTCCCATCACTGCAGCCGCTGCGGACACTGTGTCAGGAGAATGGATCATCACTGTCCGTGGTAAGAGAAGACTAATTCACTCTTAGCAAAAGTAAGAAAGAGTAGGAAAAAATAAAAGTTCTTATCAGGTTTAAAAAAAAAAAAAATTATATTAAAATAACACAATTTAAAAAATTTTTAATAAGGAATACCTTTACATGATTGTATAGTTCTATCAACTTCTCTCAAAGTCATTTTTCCAGAGGTCCTGTCTTTCCTAAGAAGGAGAAATTTGAGCAGAGAACAGTAAGAATTAACATGCACGCAAATATTGCAGAATAATTATGGTGGTTGTGTTAAATGAGACAGTGTGTATAGAGCAGTTAATACAGTATCTGGCACATAGAAAATAAAAACACTTAAGTAGTAGCTGTAATTATTTCTACTTGTAATAAACTCAATATATCTTATTGTTTGTATCCCCCTTTACATTTGTTTAGTTTGGTATTTTCAGATTCCCTGATACCCCCTTCCTCCCTAATTAAGCCTCTTTCAGTATCAAACATTGGATATAGGCATTAACACTACATCCATGTTGGATGTGTGTGAGTGGTAGATGGCTGATTCTGCTGTTCTGCCAATATCTTTTGTTAATAGGGGGCTTTTGTAATATTTAAACAAAATGTTCAGTTGAGAAACAGAATTTTTAAAACAAGTGCAGTGAGAATTCTGCATTGTATCTCATTTCAAAGCTGTCACAAAAATCTGTGAATAAGATATTTATTTAATTCTGTTTTCCAAGCATTGGATGGATCTCTGTATAAATATTTAAGTTTGTATAGTGTAGCACTTTATAAATATATCTCTATACATAAATATTTGTTTTATACATACATGCATGCATATATGCGAAGTTAACTACATATAACTAAATTTATAACTGCATTTATCTAAAATTGGCTCAAGGGTAGAGTTTAGCTTTCCCTAATAATTATAATCAATTTAGAGTTTCCTTTATTTTTGATAACTTATTTTTATAGCATACCTAATTAGTTTTAGTGGAAATTTAGTTTTTTACTATAAATTGATAATTTATATAGAAGGTGATTTCCTGAGATTAGAAAAAAATAAGACTATTTTAGATAAAAGCACTTTATTACTGTATAAACTTGTAAAAAAATGCCTAATTTTGTCAACAAGAGAGTAAAGTGTATAACAGGTAGTAGGTATTAAAAAAAATGTGCCTTCGTTAACTCCCAAGTGATTTTTCTAAACCTCAGTGATCTGTTTACAATCATAATAGTTATAGATTAAAAAAAGCAAGTGAAATATGTAATCAGATAAGTGGTGATCACACCGAGAAACTCAGTTTCATCCTTTTTAGCATAATATTTCCGACTAACTAAAAATATAATAAATGTTCACGATAAGGTTGGAAATTGATGCATCTTTTTAAAAGAATGCAATCATTTATTTTTAAGATGAATAAATAAATCGTCAACTAGGAAATGTTTTGTACTATATAGAGACTAGTGATAGTACTTATGTGTTTTTAAGGAACAAAGACTGACTTGGTTACAAAATAAAGTGCTGTTTAACCTAAATTCTAAGATGGGGCTGACTTCTTTGTTTCTAGTCCTTGTTTCCATAGTTTTAGTCGGGTTCTCAGACTATCGGTGGGAGGGAGATGGGAAATAGAAAAGTTTGGAGGATAGAAAAGGAGAGTAGAGTAGGGACTTAAATAAATTAAGCAATCTTCCTGCATATTGAATTCTGTAGTAGAACAGCGCTGAGATATTCGGAGGGTGAAGGAAATAAATGTACAGTATGAATTGGAAGCAAGGAGAATCTTGATGTTTTAAAAAATTGCATTATCTCAGTTGCCTAGCAGTTTTAGATTCAGGGTCAATTCTCAGATTGCCTCAGGGTTTCTTAAATATTTCTGACTCTGATCACTCTAAGTAGTTTAAATGCTGCAAAAAGAACTCTTACTTATTGATTGAGTACCTTAGTGCTGCTTTAAGCTCTGATTAAGAATACTGTGATCATAGCAGTTATTTCTCAGACTTTGGAGACAGGAAGAATGGGACAAGAAGTCATTTTTCAAACAACAGCTGTTTACCAAGCATTTTTTGACTGGGCACATAAGCACACTTCTCTGATAGCACTGCTTAAAAATAGCAAAACACAGTGTGTATTTTCTTGTTTACTAAGCATGAGCTCTTGACTCCCAAGAAATGCCTTTTGGAGGTTTTCAGTTCTGTATTTGATTTGAAAAAATAGTTTAACAGTCCACCTCAAAAGAACAATTTAATTTAGGAACCGAACCTATTATATCTTTTTTTTTTTTTTCAACAGTGACAACTATTTTGAAATTAAATAATTTGTGCAAGATAATTTATAGTTTTGAGCTAGAGTTTTCTGCTAGAATTTTAAAATACTTTGAAAATTTTGAGTTAAATAATTAAATTTTGAACAATAAAATACTGAACTTTAATTAGCTTTGAAAATTTGGGGATTGTAACATTTACATCTCTGTTAGAGTTCACTATTACATTGACGGATGTGTAGCTTTTAAGTATTTGTAAGTTGTTTTAAATTTATTTTTTTATTCTTAGCACCCAACCAAGGATAGATTTTAAGAGTAAGAAAAGTTGTGAATGTTTAACAGTTATGTTGGAGAGGCAAGTCTAAGTTGTGTTACCTAGTGCACTGTAGATTAGTAAGTAAGCACAAGTAGCCTGTGCGTACCGTACTTATTGGGTAATCCATCCCTGGTAGCGCTGTAATGGAAGAGTAATATACGTAAGAAGGTTCTTGTTTTCTTGGCTGCTATCTTTTCTAATGGTTCATCCTCTTGCAGCTTGTTTAACTCCATCCTGTTTTCATGCCAATAAAACAAGACTACCTTCTGCTCTTCCTGCCTCACTGGGTTGCTGTGAGTTGAAGTGGGATCATACACATGGACTTTTCTATGTATTATTGGTTTTCGGTTTGAGAGGCTTTAGCATATCTCTGTGAAGTTGAACCGAAGTTAAGTTGAGTGTGTTTATTTTTAGTTTCATAGTCCTGCTAATCCTAAAATTAACACCTTATTGATGTTTAAAATATTGTCTTTTTCATTTTTTCCCTTCAGGATTAACAATTGTGTTGGTGAAGACAATCATTGGCTTTTTCTGCAGTTGTGTTTCTACACAGAACTTCTTACTTGCTACGCACTGATGTTTTCTTTCTGCCACTATTATTACTTTCTTCCACTAAAAAAACGTAACTTGGTAAGAAATGTTTATATCCACTGATGTTAGAGCAGCTGTAGCGTACAGTTACTAACATATGTAGTTCCTTTAAGAGCAGAATATTGCAAACAAAAACAACAACGAGAAAGGCTTTTTCCTCTTGACTTTTAATAGTAATGGTAGGATCATTGTTTAGGGTGCTTTAAAAGGTTATCCTTACATATACCATTTGAGGCAGTGCTTTTCCTATTTTGTAGCATTGCAGTAAATGTTAATAAGACTTGCCCAAGATATGATGACAGTAGCGATGATGAAGATAGCAGCAACTAGAATGTTTGAGTCCTTAGCTGTGAGCTATGTGTCTATCACTGTGCTGTGGGCCTCGAATCCATTGGTATTTTAATGCTCATAACAACAATATGAGGTGGGTACTGTCCCCGCTGGCCCCCCCCCCATTTTTCTAGATGAGGATACAGACTAATGGAGATTATTGAAGGCATAAAGCTAGGAAATGATTATTCAGCTGGCTCTAATACCAGTAGAGCTGGAATTAGAATTCAATATTCCATGGTTTTTTTTTTTTTTTGCTAGTATTCATTCCACTGTATTTGATCTTAGATTGTGTTTTCTAAAAATACTGTGTGTGTATATGTGTGTGTTATGTACAGAGATTGAGAGGAGAGGGTAAAGAGGGGGAGAGAGTGAGAGCAAGCAGGTGAACGTAAGAGTCCATGTGAGGGAGCAAGGTAGAGAGGGAAAGAGAGGGAAGAATAGAACCCCTGATGGCAAAAAGGCTTTTCTTTCCCATTTATACCATTTTTTACTGTATAAATCTTTTCTGTTACAAAAATAACGAATTTGGTGGTGGTTTTTGGTGTTTGGTGATGTCAAGTCGATTTCGACTCATAGTGACCCCATGTGACAGAGTAGAACCGCCCTATAGAATTTTCTTGGCTGTAATCTTTATGGAAGCAGATCTCTAGATCTTTCTCCTGCAGAGCTGCTGAGTAGGTTCGAACTCCTAACCTTGCATTTAGCAGCCAAGCTCTTAATTGTGTAAATAGTATTAATTTTACCATCTTACTGTTTATATTTGACCCATCTGTTCTTTCTTTGTTTCTATTTTTCTCCTTTTTTTTTGCCCATTTCGGGATGTCAGTTTAAAAACAAAATTTTTAATTTATCTCTTCTGATGGCTTTTCTTCTTTTACTATTCTTTCAGTGGTTTCCTCAGAGATGAAAACATCTTCCTTGATTTTTTGGAGTCTAATATAAATTAGTACTTTTTCTGTTTACTAGCTAATGCAGTGACCTTAGAACATTTTAACTGTATTTATTGCCCCCTACTATCATCATTTTTGGTATTGTGGAGTTTCATATAGATACAGAACTAAAACACATGACAACAAGACTTTATTGTTGCTTATGAACGTTATGTGTTATAATACATATGTTATATGTAGTCAGTATTCATTTTGAAGTATCCATGTATTGATGCTTTTCTGTCTGGGATTATTATTTTCTGCCTTTTAGTACGTTTACTGGAACAAATTCTCCCAATTTTGGTTTACCTGAAGGTGTCTTTATTTCCCCTTCATTTTTGAAGAGTGTATTTGCTTATCATAGAATTATAGGTTGGTGGTGGTTTTCTTTCAGTTTTTAAGAGATATTATTCTTTTTATTGTGGTTTTTATCATTTCAGGTAGTTCTTACGTATACATGTACATTTTAACCATATCCCCAGGTGATTCTTATGTATCAAATGTAGATTTGATTCAGTATATATGGGGTGGAAGGGCAAATTCTCAGCAGGGGGTCAAACCAGAATGAAGCGGTTCAAACCCCTAATGACATGCCTTGGTATTGTTTTCTTTGTATTTTTCCTGTTTGAGGCGTATAACTTTCACTCTCCTTTTTCTGTGTTTTCCTTTTTTTCTTCCCTCTGTGCTTCAGACTGGATATTTTTTACTAATATATCTTCTGGATTATTAATCATCTTTTCTACTCTGTTTAATCTACTGTTAAACCCTTCTACTAAGTTCTTAATTCAGTTATTTCTCACTTTTAGAATTTTAATAGCTCACATCTCCGGTGCAGTTCTCCATTTTGTCATCTATTTTCTTGAACATTTTAATCAAAGCTATTGTCTGATAGCTTCAATATTGAGATCTCCTTACGAGTCTATTTCTATTGTCATCTTTTTTTCTTTTTTTCTCTCTTCGTTTTCAGATACATTGATCCTGTCCTCTGACATGCCTGATAAGTTTTTATACTGGGCATTGTATATGACCAGTTGTTGAGGATCTGGTTGATATTTTCTTTCTCCAGCGGTGATTCACCTTTTTTTTGGACAGGCGGTAAAAGAAAGCTCATCATGATCCAATCAGATGTTTGTATAGCAGATATTTCTAAGGCTAATAAGAGAACTTTGATCTTACTAAAGCAGTTCATTTGAAGGTGGCATTTATTGAACTTACATTTGTAAGGGTTTATGCTTGTTGGGTTTTAGTCTTTGTTAAGGACTAGTTTCAGTGTGTCTTACTCTTATGGCGTAGCCCTTTTCAGGGGTCTCAGCTGAAAAACAGGTGTTTAGTGTGGGCTGTGCCCTTCAGTTTTTGCTTCCCCAGCCCTCTGAGCCTACAGGAAGCTCTGAGCCTCCACTTCTACCTGGCCTTCATATAGCACTGCTTATGGAATGGCAAGTACGTTGAAGTAAAAAGCAGTGCAGAATATAGGGCTCACCTTAATGCATTTCTGTTCTCTCTAGGATCTTGCCCGTTTAAGTCCCGTCTGCTTTCCATTGTCTTCCAGTAGCTGTTTACTTATCAGTGATTGGATTTTATCTGGCTTTTTGTTGGTGAGAGACTTGGTCTCATATAAGCTATTCCCTCAAGGATGTCAGTGGCAGTAATGTTTTGTTTAAAAATCTTGTCAGGTGATTCTAATCAGTTCTACCTAATTTTACAACTCCAGGAGGTACCATTCATGTCATAGTCTGGGTAAAAATGGCATCCCTTGGAGTTGTGCACTGCAAAGCTCCTGTGGTCGTAAAGTTTAAGAACTGCTGTGCTATAGGAAATGAGACGCAAGATGAATTTTATAGGGCAGGTAGAGATTAGCCAGATGGAGAGAAGGAGGAAGTCATTGCTGGACAAGCGAACAACAAAACGCTTGAGGCAGTTATTGGAATAACTGGTCTTAAGGTGAAATTTGTTGTAAAATATCATCCATGTATCAAATATTTTGAAGGCCGACAGAACACCATACTTAACTACAGCAGATCTTTTTAAGATAACATTTGTTGTTATTTTTATAAAGGGAGGAAAAAATGAATATTACCAATAATTTTAGCACAAAAGTCACCATTATTACCATTGGCCTTTTAAAAAAATAGTGTTTTACAGTGGACTATACTTCAAACACTCCCATACACCATCAGGGGTTTTTTAACGAGTATTTGCCTGCGTCCTTTTCATTTTTCTCTAAAACAAACAAAAACAAAAAATACATCCAGCTGTTGATTATGTGTGTAAAGCTGACCAGAGCCTGATTCACCTTGTTACTGTTTCCATTACTTGGAATATGGAATAAAGTTTCTCAAAGGTCCCTAACTGTCTTTGGAGATTGCATTAATGAGCACTCTGCATCCTTCCTTTGGGAATACTGATGCACTTAAAGTATGTCATGGACTTTGACCCTAGAGTCTTCTGTCAGCCAAACTGAAGTGAAGGCTTGAGTCTGCGAAATGATCTTTTTTCTTTATATCCTTTCAGGTAGCTAGATGGCAGCATAGTATCTTCTCTAGCCCATCTTTAAATTCCAAAGCTCAGTGCTTGTTCTATAGCTTGTTTTATTTTTTTTAAGGGTGAGAGGTTGTGTTTTGCTTTTTTAATGTGAAAGTATTCATGCGAAGAGGTTACCCTTTGAACTTCCTTGTAATGGCACTTAACTTGTATTCAGTAAGTAATGAGTACATTATGGTTAAACCAGTACGGGGTTGCTATATTACTGTTAAGCACATGGGAAAGAGAGAGTTGAGAGCAAGCAGGCTTCTAATGTTGTTGTTGTTTAACTCATAGCCACCCTGTAGGACAGAGTAGAACTGCTCCATAGGGTTTCTGAGGATGTCGTCTTTATGAGAACAGATTGCCATGTCCTTTTCTCCTGTGGAGTGGCTGGTGGGTTCGAACCACAAACCTAATAAGCAGCCAAGTGCTTACTTAACATTGCACCACCAGGGCTCCCTAGGCTATTAGTAAATTCTAGGAAATGAACAGTTTGGGGAGTCTACTTTTCTTCCGTTTCTCTCTTCTTCCATCTTGTTTTCTGGGGAGCTCTTTCTTAGCTGGATTATTTTAATTGCTTTGCATTTGCCCCATTGTTTTTAGAGCAACTCATTGTTTTTAGATTTCTTCCTAACCATTACTTTTTAACTATCCATCTATCATAGACTTTCAAAGATTTATATGTTTTTACTATGTGAAGTTTTGAGGAAATATTTAATATATCCCTATTAAGGGAAGGAAGGAATAAGAGGTAAAGGAGGTAAGGAATTTATAGTTTATTGTGAAGCAGTCCCCAGATTTGGCATTTATTTTTTATGTTGTAAATTTTGATTTATATGCTAAGACTTACACTAAAGAAGACCCCCAAACCTAAAAAGAATTAGTATCACCATTTTTGAAATTAGGTAACTAAAATCACCCCAAAATTCTCGGTATTAAGAAGGAAAATACACCTCTAGAAAAATGGTAGAAACTTGAATAGTAGCTTTCATTTAAATGAATGTGGATAAATTAACTATTTTTAGTTAGAAGCTTGAGATGTTTGGAGAAGTTTTTCAAATGCTAGACATGAAGTTAGTTTGACTGTCATTTGCATTTATTATGCCAGTATAATACTGAATTTTACTTAAAATGAATGTCTTGGCTGTAAGTAGTGAGTGGAATGGAAATTATTGTAAAAATTTCAAAACCTGTAGAGTAGGGAATGATTTGGCATTTTTAATGAATAGAATAGCTGGATATTAAAGAAATGAA